TCTTTCTCTTGGACCTTCTTATCATTAGCCTCCTTCCCTATAAAGACTCCCCACGAAACCATAACTTGTTCTTGTGCGTTTTTGAGCCTTGGTAGTAATCTTTTGGAATTTTGGTACTCTTTGAAGAAGGAAGATCTTGGTGGTGAAGCTTTGCTGGGATTAGAGCTTAAAGATCCAGAGTCTTCATCAGCTTCGCTAGTATTTGAAGGTATAAATCTCTTATCTTGATGACTCTAAGTATTAGATCAAGTTTTGAGCTTAATATGGTCTCTTGAGTCATCCTTGTGAGTATAAGCTACTCTTGGAAGCTTAGAATGTTAGATCTTAGCATTTCTAATGTTATTAGGGCATAAAAATGTCATCTTGATGGGTTTTGATGAACCATGCAAGAGTTGGTGTCCATATTATGAATAAAAACGGGTATTGGGTCCCAATAAGGCATGCAAAGGAGTAAAGTTGCCAACTTTACGTATTAAGACTTTGTTTAGTAGTAGATATGAGCTTTGGACATTTTGAGCTTAATGGATTAAGTCGTTTGGATTGAGAAATGGGGACTGACCAGTACGTTGGGCATACTCCAGAGTACGCTACGCGTACTGGGCTAAACATGCGTACGATGTGCGTAAGTCTGAGTACGTTAGGCGTACTCAACAGCTATTGACTTACGTTGGCTTTTGTAGACCTGTTAACTTTTGGTAAACTGTTGAGTGGATTGGACTTATTGGAGGGAGGGGGAATGGTCTTTTTCCTATTCTTGGAATTGTTGAGGTGTTGACTCGTTCGATGGGTATTATCTTAATTATTAATTAGGATAATGGTTTTAGTTTGATTAGTGTAGATGGAGCTTTCTTAGCATCGCTCATGAGCATAGTTGGTTATCGACTGATTGAGGTGAGTCTCCTCATTATACCCGTGGGTCGAAGGCACCAATGCCGGCCCACGATGAATTGTATTATAACATGCTAGTTGTCTTTGTGATACTTGCATGAAAGACGATGGGGGTGGCCCATGGCCCTCGTATGTAAGACCGAGATTTGTCCCTCGACATTACCAGGAAAGACCATGGGGGTAACCCATGGCAATTGTATGCAAGACCGGGATTTGGCCCTCAACATTCCAAGTATCATGTTATTGGGTTGAAACATACCCCAGGGTGGAGCCCATATTTGTTTATTGGGTTGAAACATACCCAGGGTAGGGCCCATATTTGTTAATTGGGTTGAAATACACCCAAGGGAGGGGCCCATATACATATGTTTGGTATGTGGTACTTTGGGGATCTCACTAAGCTTTGTGCTTACAATTTTATGGTTATGATTTCAGGTACTTCCTGTTCAAAAGGGAAGGGCCCGACTTGATCGCAACGCATCCACCCATGTTTCCATAACTATATGATTTTGGGATTGTACTCTGATAACTGTTTTTATTCTGAATTACTTTTGAATGATTGGAAAAAGGATAATTGGTGTTTCTGGTTGAATTAAAAATGATTTTTTTACCTTATAATTTTCGGGATGTTTCAACTTGCATGCATAAGGCAACAACTGGTGTTGATTGAGGTTCTCAGTATTAAAAGTGGTGGGAGTTGAGGATTCCTTAGGAGAGCCTAGGATATGTATGTTGTCTAGCATAGGATTGGTATATAGTCCTAGTGCGGTGACTTAGAGGAGTCAGGACGATTCTTGAGGAAGGTATAAATTGGTGTGGAACGTAGTATTGGACCCATATTACTGGAAGCACATGATCTGTACTTGAAACAAGGATAGACCTGGAGAATCTAAGGAGACCTATATAGTTAGAATTCCCTCGAGTCTTATGCTGATTGTTTCTATGTTGTGTTTCAGTTTGAGGATGGTGATGACTACTCAAGGAGGAGGTTTAGATTCAAGTTCTGGTTCAGTTTGTGGCTCTGGCTCGGGCACAGAACCGAATGATGAGAGGCTGCGAGAGCTTATTGCGGCCAAGGTTACTCGTGGCATTTTGAATGGTACCCCTGTGATGTTTGGTACTAGGGGTGTAAACGAGCCGAGTCGAGCCGAATACTACCAATCTCGAAGCTCGACTCGACTAAAATACTCGAGCTCGAAACTCGGCTCGAACTCGACTCGAGCCTTGATTTTTAAGCTCGAGCTCGGGCTCATGAAATACTCGACAGTCTCGAGCTCGGCTAGGCTCGACTCGACTAATATTTAAAAAAAAATCAAAATCACTAAATTGAGTAAGAAATATTAAACATTCCACATGCAAATGTCCAAACTACCAAAAAACCACTATTCATCACCTAATATCAATATAACCTCAACCATATATGTCATAAATGAATAATTATAAAGAAATGACATATATGCTATAAATGAACAATTATAAAGAAATGACATATATGTAAATTACACTAAGCTCGACTAAGCTCGCGAGCCTTAAAAGCTGAGTATTTTAGTACTCGAGCTCGGCTCGATAAGGTACTCGAGTAGCTCGAGCCCAAGCTCGGATCGATTAAGGTCGAGTCGATTTCGAGTATTTTCCGAGTCGGTCTCGAGTTTCTCACGAGTTGGCTTGTCTCACTTACACCCCTATTTGGTACGATGAAGGAGGGGATTATGGAGCTCATGGATGAGTAACTCAGAGCCTTCAGAGTCGAGATTGTTGCGGGTCAGATTGGGGCGCGAAGTCCTTCATTTCGGGAGTTCAAATCTTGTGGAGCTCCTGAGTTCTTTGGGGCTAAGGACCCCATCGCTAGCCGACGATGGATCGCTGACATGGAGATTGCTCAACAGACGAGCTTTTGCCTTGAGGGGGCAAAGGTAGGGTTTGTAGCCTGCTTATTGAGGGATCAAGCACGCGACTGGTGGGATGAGGTTGGTAGAGCTGCGAGGACTGTGGTTGTGGCAGTCATGTCTTGGGAGGAGTTCGTTACGAGATTTCAGAGAGAGTTTGCACCGGTGATCGAGGTACAACAGTTAGCGATGTGTCACACCCCCTGCCTAGCCTTTGGTGGAAACGCCGAGCAGGGGAGGACATAAAGGGTTCTCGGGGTGGTGCGGACAATTACCTTCATCTTATAAGGGTAAAAAAATTTAAATTTTATTTTTTGTGTTAGGATGCAACTACTAAAAAAATTATGTATAACTACTATAGTCTACAGGTCGAATTTTTTGGTGGGGGTGCTACTACTGCTAAACATTCTTGTGTCCGCCTTTTGGTGTTGAAAATTGAAAGTATTTCTATAAATTAGCAACAAGTGTATTTTAGACATTTTAGAGTTTATTATATTTTAATGATTTTAAATTACAGAAAATAAATATTAAAATATGAAAAAATATATGAAAAAAACATGATTTTGAAAGTTATATATATATATATATATATATATATATATATATATATATATAATATTTCAAATTACAATTTTTAAATGTGAAAATTTGATCTTCTGTTTCTAAAAAAAAATCTTAAAAAAATGGTTAATGTCATAAACCCTCAAGTTTTCAGGTTTTTGTGTCGGTTTTGCCAAAAGTTGAATTTTATATTCATTTATGCTGCAAACTTGCATTTTTTTTTCGGTTTTGCCCTTTTTATAGGTAAAGCCGATTACTTGTGCATGTGGCAGCCACGTGTGCAGTGAGTAGGTTGCTTTTGCTGACATGTCAGTCACGTATGAATTGACTGTGTTTATATGTAAAGCTTTATTATAACAATTTATCAAGAAGGAAATAGGGTGGGAAGGAATCGAACCTACCACCTCCAGCTGACAAACACATAAGTTTACCACCGGGCTAAAATGAATATTGAGCTTATCATTTGAACAAATAAATATAATTTATATCATTGAAACAATTTAAATAGATATTTATTTTGATTATTGTTATTATTATTATTATTATTATTATTATTTCGTATTTTCAATATAAATCGGTATTTTTGTATTAGGAGTCTAATTTTTTTTTCATATTTAATATAAACAGTTAAATACATACATTTTTGTATTTTCAATATAAATACCTATATTAAAATGTATAAATATTTTTTGAAAGTGTATGTAGATCTTTTGAAATGTACTTTTATAATGAAAAACCTCATTTATAGAGTAAAAATTTATTGATTTATATATAATAAGCATACAAATATTTTTAAATACATAAAAATATCTTTTACGATTTTGAAAGTATAAAAGATATGATATACATATCATTTAAAATTTAAAAAAATATTTTTAAATACATAAAAATATCTTTTACGATTTTGGAAGTATAAAAGATATGATATACATATCTTTTAAAATTTAAAAAAATGTAAAAATATCTACTTGATGTAAATTTTAAAAGATATTTATACTTTTAAAACGTAATTTATTTGTGTATACACTTATAAAATATTTTTACAATTAAATATATAAATATGTTATTGAATCTACAAAATTCTCTTTCAAATATATAAATATGGTTTCGGTTGTAAACTGTTTTTAAGTGTACAAATATGCTTTTAAATATATAAATACATTTACAAGCGTATTTCTACTTAAAAAATACGAAAAATACGTATTTGTATTAATAACACGAAAAAAATCCATATTTATTAAAAATACAAAAAAATAGTTATATTGGTAATAAAAAAATAAATATTTTTACTGAAAATTGAAAGATATACATATTCAATACATGAATAATAGAGTTATTGAAAAGAAAAAAAATTAAGTTGTCCGATTAGATTATATATTAAACGCAAGGAGATATTCATAAATTCGCATGTTAGCCCAGTGGAAACACAATGGGTTTTCCCTCCGGGTTCGAATCCCGGCTTTCCTATTTCCTGATTAATTTTTTCGGTTAAAAGGAGGACGTTGATGTGGGCATCCACATCAGCTAATCACGCCTGGCCAGCGCACATGTGGCCTAGGATGACCGGCTTAACCTGTAAAAAAGGGCAAATTCGGAAAAGATTGTAAGTTTCAGGCATAAATGAAAATAAAATCTAACTCTTGCTAAAACCAACAAAAACCTGAGACTTTCTCAAAACCCTGGGACTGGGTGCATAATTCTACTACAGGGCAACAGGGTTTATACGTGAGAGTTCATTGAAGTCTTGAAATAAGCAAACCAAACCGCTACCAGATGGAGCAATTAAAGGAGCTTGAACAAGTGCAAAATATAATGTTGATGATCCAATCAGCTGGCGCAATTGATTCTTCCAACAACACAAATGCTGATTCGAATCGTTTCCTTGCTAATTTCATCCTCTTCATGGTACTTCTTTCTTCCTTTTTCAATTTCGCTTCCTCAACTTTGAAGCACTATATGCCAACTGTAATTGAAATTTCAAGTTACAGTGAATTCGGTACTTGAAACTTTCCGATACATGACTTTTATCATGTTGTTGTCGATTGTGTTAGGAAATTCTAGGAAACGAATCAACTTCGATAATAACCTGTTTTGTTTTTCGTTTAATTTATTATTGATGATGTTTTAGAATTTCTTGACCTTGCCTTTGATGAAGCTCACTAGATATTTGGAAGTAAGACCAAATGTGAGTTTGTTATAGTGATTGGACTAATTGTAATCACAAAAGACGAAGCATCCCTGATTATTGCATGTTCCTTAGCAAGTGTTTTGTTTCTTGGCTTTTATAGAAACAATGTATTTCTTGTTCATATCCGATGGCTTAATATTGAGGCAAGCTGTGACATAGATTGATTGAATTGTCTTTATAAATACCTCAAAATTATCGCCTTATTGGATGAGGGGTTAAAGTCTATGTGTGTGATTGAATAAAAAAGAGGATGTTTTATAGAATGGTTCCCCTTTTCAGTATCCCACATCAGCTCCAAGATGTTGATCTCTTACTAGAAAAGTTAATGCTTGAGCTTGAGATTGAGATTCCTTATTTCAATCCAACAACACATGAATAGTTTCTTGATCTGGATTAATCAGTAGAAGATTTTGAAGGAGGAATATATGAGGGGAATGACCTATAGAATCAATATGATTAATGGATTATAACATGTTAATTAAGAAAATCTTACATCCTATTATTAAATTATCAAATATCTCTTTTCTTTCCCAATATTAGACATCATGAGTTTCAATGATTTTGAACCAATTAAAAACATATTCTTAATTCTAATCTTTTATTTGTTTATGAATGTGATATTGAAGATGCAACCATGTGGTGAACTTGATATGAATCAAAAGTGCAAATTGATCTCTAACCATTTCCCAAAGGTCTGTATATATATATTCTATATTTCTTCAAAATCCAATTTAGTATATTCTGGATAATGCAATAAACATACTTATGATATTTGATCTACAGATTTCTTCTGCATTTAATAAGGAATCATCACCCCAGCTTTGTGACAAAGGTCTCTTTTTTTAGTACAATATTCTTTATCCTGTTATCTTTACTATTTATTGAGAATTTAAGATAACAAAGTAACAAATTGGTGGTTTTTCTTTTTGTTTTTCCAGGAAATATTGGCATCGAAGCTTCTCTATCACATCATTGTGATGATGACATGAGTGTTGGATTATTACAAACTGATTGTGCTGATGTGGCAATGGTTACACTTGATTCGATGCAAAGGGCAAATTCTACTTTACAAGATTTTGTAAAAAAAACATCACATGCTCTGAATTTACTTTGCTTACATCAACAACTGTGGTATAATAAATTAATAATCTGTTGTATATAAACAGTGCAGATCTTACTTCATGTTTCATGAAATGGATGCTAATAATGCAGAATCAATATTCAAATACTTACCACTGCTTTCATTTACAGAAAGTTACATCTATCAGGTACCCTATCATTAAAGAATGAATTTAAATTATTATAATATTTCTAGAAATCCTCCATTTTATAATGGTTTAATGACATTGTAAAAATTAGATCAGATGTATGATATTGATAAAATTCACCAGTGATATTAGAGTAAATTACATTTTTAGTCCATGTGATATAGAAGTGATTTCTTTTAATTTTTTTATCCAAAAAACAAGTTTTTTGCCTTTTTTGTCCCTATCATACTATTTTTAACCCTTTTGGTTTCTCAATAAACAGAGTCTTTCTCAGGGACCAAAAGGGTAAAAATAATAGTACCTTAAGGACCAAAAATGAATCATTTTGTCATGTGAAGAGGTTTTTGTACAATATTTGCTAAAATGTTAATTACTTTTGGTGTAAATTACTTTTCTCTTGTCCCATTTCTATAGTTATTTTTTGAATTTGATCAAAAAAGAAATTTTTTTTTTTACTTTTTGGTCCCTACTGTATTACTTTTAACCCTTCTGGTCCCTCAGTTATGAAATATCTCTCAGGGACCAAAACGGTAAAAATAATAGTACCATAGGGACCAAAAAGGAATATTTTTTTCTCATTTGATGTGGTCACGAGGCTAAATGAAAACTGTTTTGAGTGAATTACATTTTTCTTGTGTTTATATTTTTTTGTCTAAAAAGTAATCTGTTTGCTTTTTTGGTCCCTATGGAAAAATGGCACAAAGATTTCTTTTTGGTCAATATGATTCTATTATTAACACTTTTAGTCCCTCAATAAACTAATTTTATACAGCTGGACACCATAAATGAGAAACTCCTGCAACTTCCATCCAATGGAATTCCAGATTCTGACATGTTGACACCTGATTGGATTCTAAGATTTATAAAGTCTTTCAAAACTGATACCTTCAAACCACTTGCTGTTCTTCTAGAAAGCTATGGAATATATACAGATAGGTTAAAAACTTAAAATGTTAAATACATCTTTATATTTCCTTTTTTGGAAAGTTTTATGGAAAATTCTTCATTTGACATTTGTTGTGTAAATTTTTTTTTATAACAATTTCAGGATAAGAGATGAGTTGAAATGTGGGGAAGAATACTGGGCTCTAGAAAGAAAACTTTGTTCTGCATTAACAAACAAACAGGAGGTATGTTGTGTGATTCCGATGGAATTGGAATTCATGATTCCATTCCATGGTTTTGAAAATAGAAAGTATTAAATAATTTTGTGATACAGATTCAAATGGAAGATGTTATGAAAGCAATTCATCTCAAGTCCTTTGACTATCGAGTGCTGAATCTACTCTTGTATCAGTTGAATGGAAAAGATGTAAACAAATTGTTATTTCTTTCATTTAATTAAATATTATATTGCAAAATTATTAATCCGCTATTTTAATTTTAATTTTTTTTTTAAATTCCTTTGAAGCAATGTGAAGATCAATGAAACACATATGGAGTTTTTATCAGTATCAGAGTTCCTTGTGGAAGTATCTGATGACTTGTTAGTATTGTTCCTTGTAATCTAAACTTTTGTCTTTTTTTTTTCTTTAATTTCGGAATATTAAATTATTGAGTAAATTACATGAATGGTCCCTATGGTTTGGGGTAATTTGCATGTTTTGGCTCTAACTTATTTTTTTAACTCGGAAGGTCCCTACAGTTTGTTTTCGTCGTGCACTTGGTCCCTGTCTTAGCTAAAAAGACTATTTTGCCCTTGATTTTTTAATTTATTTAAATAAACATACCCTCAATCCCACTTCCACCTCACCTTACATTACTTTACCTACCTCAGTTTATTTAAAAAAAATTTAAAAATAAAGGGCAAAATAGTCTTTTTAGGTAAGACAGGGACCAAGCGTGCAACAAAAACAAACTGTAGGGACCTTCCGAGTTAAAAAAATATTTTAGGGACCAATCGTGCAAATTACCCCAAACCACAGGGACCATTCAGGTAATTTACTCTAAAATTATTTATCTCACTCCAACTATTTTTAATCTGTTTTTTTTTTAAATTATTATTATTATTATTATTAACTCTGAAACATGTTGTAGGTTTGACTATGAGGTGAGTCCATCTGTTCTAATTTCTTTCAAAAACTTTTATTCCAATTTTCTTTTTGAAAATAAATATTTATTTATTTATTTATTTATTTAGGAGGATGTGTTGGAGAACAATTTTAATATCTTGCGCATGTTTGTTAGAATACATGGAGCTTCCTCAGCACCGGTTTTCCTTGTGAGTTTTTGTATTACAAGGGTATTTTTGTCTTTGAATAAAAATGAAGAATATAATTACTTTTCAAGTATCTAAATTTCCATATATTTAATTTAGAAAATTATGTAAACAGGCAAAATCAATAATTGAGGCTGAGAAGAAATACAACTCCTTACTAAATACTTTGGATCCTCAACTCTCTTTTAAATATCAAAAAAGATGTGAAGAAGCAACAAAAGAAGGTTAAATAATAAATACTCAATTAAACAAATCATATTAAGTTACGAAATTTGGTTTATTTTATTAAATAAATTACATTAATGTTTTCAGGTGGGAAGGTATTTGGTCCTCCCCTTGGGACATGGAGTATACCACCAATTATCGAAGATGAAGATTTATATAGAACTAGTTCTGTTTAGGTACATATTAAAATGGACTTACTTATTTTAATATTTAAAGTCGAATCCGACAATTAATTTAGTGCTTAAAATGTGTAAAATGATTTTTGAAACATAATTTTCTTATATACTTGTTTAACTAACAAAAAAAAAGTTATATTTAGATGTGCATTTTACGTGATGCTATAGATAATATGAAATAAGTTTATGTTACATCATTATATTATTGGTGGCCAAACAATTAATGATGAACGACATGAATAATTGGTAGAGCATTATGGGCAAACGTTATCCATGTAGATAACACAACATCCATTTTGTACACCCAAAAATTATTCCAAACATATTCTCATAGCCTTCTTAAGACCATGGCCAAAAATAGAGAAAATTATGATAAACATATCTATTAGTTGATTTAAGACCATCTCCACAATGGTATCATTACTAATACTATCTAAAATATTTTTTTTCAATATATAGCACTAAACTATCCATTGATTTGAGAAATAAAAAAATCAAATAAAATTATATTGATTCCATCATTGATGGAATCAAAGCATAGTTCCATATTAAAATATACCACATAAAACATACCACATGAAGTGATAAACCTACCACACAAAACCTCCTGTGAAGAAGTCAAAATACATGTTCTTTATCATTGGCGTCAAGAGTAGAGATTACACATTAAATTGATTATGTCATGAACTTCTAATTTCATTGTATTTATTCTTTCACTATGAAGAAGATTAGAAGAAGGTTAAAGTTATTATCAATCATAAATTCACAATTGAGAACCTTCAAAGTTAAAACTTGATGTGAAGAAGAAATCTAAAAACTGGACCATGCTAGAAAAGTTGTGATTCATATTAATTATTTTGCCAAATAAATTAAGTAGGTCATCTAGAAATTTTAAGGTAGGTCAAAAAAAATTATAAATTACTTGTAACTTTTTTTTTTTTTTTTTAAGTGTGTCAAATGACCCACCTTCACTTGCAATGATAGATTTACTAGATGTTTAAATATACGCATCATTTTTTAATAATGATAACTCATCGATTATCATCACAATTATCTTAAATAGATGTTAGTTAGATAAATCCTCGCAGATAAAAAGTTCAGAGCATAAGTCTATAGCGAGGTTCTTAAATATGAAATTCATCACAGTTGTATACAGAAGATGGTAAATTAAATCCTGTCGAAATACAAATGCTTTTCCACGACGAAAGAGAGGGTCCTTAATGTTTGTTGCATGAAAAAAATTGATAATATTTAATATCTTACGAAACAATAAAGGCCATACAAAAAAAAAAAGAAAAAGAAAAAAAAAACTATCCGCAAATGAACGACCGAAATTTCAAGAATTATGTTCATTACCTAACATCCACAAAAATATGTTATTGGGATACGGCATCCCTTATTATTTTGGTTTAATAAGTAACTTTTGTTTTTCTTCATTTAAAGCCAATTAAAGACAGTAAATCTAAATTATCGAAGTATTTAATTCACTCAAGAGTCAAGATATAATATTACTAATTTATTTAAAAATGAACTTGATATAACAGAGACGATGGAAGGACACTGGGGCTTACGGTTTGTTTAAGAGTTGCATATGATATGGTCTCTGAGTTGTACTGCAAAAAGTCAATACCATTTGCTTCATTATGATGTCTATACTGACATGAATGCACCAAACCCACACTAGGCCTATCCTACACCTACACCTACACCTACACCTACCAATCACAATACTATGCCAGTCAAAACATAGACCGAGACTTCATCTATTAAATGCTTTCTACATCAAAATACTGTCACAAGAGTTGGACATGGATAATGGATTGGTTCGTATCGATGTTAAAACGAATGTTACTATTGTAACAATTTGAGTTCGTAGGCAAACCAACCTAAAAAAATCTTGTTATTATTAAAAATTGGATCTGATAATTCCTGTATTCGTGTTATTTTCACGTGTCATACATCGTGTCTCTCACGAATTCGTGTATTTGTGTCTCAAATTGTCAGGTTTATTAGAAATATCAACAATAGTTAATGATATTAGACATTTTTTCCAACAATCTCTCGCTTGGACAAGTCATCAACTATATAAGGTCCAATACTTCTCTAATAATAAACAGAGAGAATGTCATCCAATGCATCTGCCAAATTCTGATCTAATCAACTTCAACTCTCATATAAGTGATCAACTATTCTTTCGTTCTACAAGTTATCATTATGAATTTGAGACATGGATAATGGTCAATCTTAGGATTCAAGATTATGTTTTCCGATAAAGACTTATGACGACTGCATCTGACTACTGAATCAAACACATCAATTCCAGTTAGGACCTGACCAAATATTTAAGATTCCAACACCAAATCATCGAGGGGACCATAAATATCGTTTCTCTAGTTAAGACAGAAGGAACGAATAAAATTTGACTATATAATTTTTGTCTATTTCATCATGTCATACATGGACATACCCTTTATTGCTACCAGTTACAGATAACGTTAGAGTAAGCCAATGCACAATAGAATCATAAAGCAAAACCACATATGTATGTAGGTTTGAAGAATAGACGATATTATCGTCTTAGAATTACTCGTGACTGTATCCATGAAGTAATCTCTAAGCATAGGTTGTTCCAATACTTAAATCTATATTAAGTACTAATGAGTGTTAGTGCAATCTCTATGCTATGCCCAATAACTATGCTCAATCTACTAATACTCATGATAGTCTTAAATCATTACTTACTTCCAAGAGTATGACCGACTGTGGAGGTTTGAGTAAACTAATACTCGAAAAATGGGTTCTAAACATGCAAAAGCGAAACACAATAATAAATTAATAGAAATGATAGCATCACTAGCACTTTATTAAGTCTCTACAAAATAAACATCAATTTGGTTACAATTCATACTGCTAAATGTTTCAACACTTTATCAAACTAACAACAAACAATTACACCATATCATCATCAAATATAATGTCTATAGATCTAGTATGATTATCATTTTTGATCATTGATAATGGATTCGTGAACATATCAGTTGGATTCTCATCTGAAGACACTCTGTTCACGACAATGTCTCCATCCTCGAATCACTTCCTTACGCAGTAATGTTTCAACACTTTATCAAACTAACAACAAACAATTACACCATATCATCATCAAATATAATGTCTATAGATCTAGTATGATTATCATTTTTGATCATTGATAATGGATTCGTGAACATATCAGCTGGATTCTCATCTGAAGACACTCTGTTCACGACAATGTCTCCATCCTCGAATCACTTCCTTACGTAGTGGTATTTCTTGAGTATATGTCTTGAGTTACCATGGTCCTTGGGTTCTTTAGCGTGATAACCGTCAAAAATTGGTCAACGATCGTCAATCGCAAGCGTCAAAAATAAGATAATTGTTCTTTGTACACGTTACAAATAATATAAATATTTATATACACGTTATGTAGACGAATATTATAAGGAATATAATATTTAAAGAAAATCGATTTATTTATAATTTTATCGTTGAACGATAAAGTAAGTGTAAAAATAAAAGATTATTTAGGATAAATAATCTTAACGAAAGTTGAAGTACTTGTCGATACAAAGTCAGGGATATAAAGAACGTCGAGAACGGAGCTCGTATGCGAAAGATATGAGTGAAACTCGGTCCCTACTCTTTAGGTGCGGCGAAATCAGTACAAATTTGTAAATTTGAAATAGAATGAGAGTTAGCCAGTGGAGTCTAAATAAAAGTTGTATTACTTGTCGATATAAAGTTATAGTATAAAGAACGTCGAGAACGAAGCTCGTATACAAATGATATGAGCAAAACTTGGTCCCCCACTCTTCATGCGCGGCGTATCCTATGTCCAAAAGTCTATAAATAGAGAGTCGAGCCTCCCTCATTCCTTGTTCATTCATATTTTGGGTTTATCTCTCTTCAAAACTCTTTCTCTCTGTAAAATTCTAGCTTTTTAATCCTCGAACTGCTGCAACAATGGAAAGGTGACAGAAAGAAGTGTTTGATGTCAAAGTTTTAACATCCAGTTTGGAGGTATATTTTATTTTAATTTAAAGTTTCATTTTGGGAGTCATCATGGCGTCGGGAAGGATCGTCACGGTGTGGCGAGGAATTTTCTGGTCGCGAGTCTCTTTTGACTCGCTACGACGTGGCAAGAAAGGCCATGACGTCGCCGCCACAGACGTCTTAAACCCTGATTTTCCGGGTTTTGCACCATATTTTAAGGAATGAGGAGGCTAGGGTTTGCTCACCTAGCCTCCACCACCCTCTTTAACTCAGAAGAAACCCTAGTTCCTTTTCCTCCATTATTGAAGCCTTCTTGAGTGATTTTGAAGGAAGAAGCAAGAAGGAGTAAACAAATAATCAACAAGAAAGTTCCCATCTCCCTTCCTAGCTCGATTCTAGACCCTTGTAAGTGTTCAAGGATCCACCTTTTTGATAATAGGTTGCTAGATCTTGAGTTTTGTCCCATTTTCTTCTTGATCTTGTTAGTTGGGGTGGTGAGAGTTCATAAAGGTTGCAACTTTACGAATCTCTGGATAATTTAGAGGAATTCATGGTTTGGATCTGAAGTTTGGTTGGTTGTTTGATCCATGCATAATATTTTTGGTCATAATCCCCATTTTGACCTAATTTGAGTCCAAGACATGCATTGGACATGCATGTCTAAAAATAACCAACCTTTAAGTTGATTTTAGTATTATAAGCTCTTTTGGAGCAAATGGATATGAGACTTAAGGGATTAAGTGCTTCTTGGTTGAGCCCATGCCATGTTTAAGCCTTTATGGACCTAAGACTTGAGATCTTGACCTTTTGGAGACTCTCAAGGGATAACGTTGGAAACTTTATCCATTTAGACAATAAAAAATTATCAGATCTGGACTTTGAAACCTTTGGGATCGGAGGATTCTGCTTAACCCATTAAGACAATTTGAACCCAATGGCCATGGTGTGGCCTAGGTTGCCATGGTGTGACGACTAGGGGAAACGCATATGTTTTGTCGTTTGAGGGCCACGACGTGACCAAGGATGGCCACGACGTGGAGAGT